ATGGCATCATCAGGACTCTGGACCTGCCCATCTATGTGACCCGTGTGAGAGGAAACAGCGTTTACTGCCTGGACAGGGAGTGTCGACCACGTGTCCTCACCATTGACCCCACAGAGTACCGCTTCAAACTGGCCCTGGTCAACCGCAAATATGATGAGGTGGGTCAGTGGTGATTGTTGTTTGTGTGAAAGGATGAGGTACTAAACCACTGTTTACCTTTTTAACAATTGTAACTGGCCACGATTTTATTCCAAAATACTGGTTCTGATAAAATCCTAACATCGTTTGTCCAGGTGCTCCACATGGTGCGTAACGCCAAGCTGGTGGGTCAGTCCATCATTGCCTACCTGCAGAAGAAGGGCTACCCTGAGGTGGCACTGCACTTTGTCAAAGATGAGAAAACACGTTTTAGTTTGGCTCTGGAGTGTGGCAACATCGAGGTAGGTTGCTGCCAGAGAAACTGTTTAATTAACCTTTTCTGAATTAAATTGTTACTCTCTAAGTTTGTGTTGTCCCTCTACTCTTAGCTTTCTTCATTCATTTTTTTTACTCCATACCTCCAGGTGGCGTTGGAGGCCGCCAAGGCCCTGGATGAGCGCAGCTGTTGGGAGCGTCTGGGCGAGGCAGCGCTGCTGCAGGGTCACCACCAGGTCGTGGAAATGTGCTACCAGAGGACCAAGAACTTTGACAAGCTCACCTTCCTGTACCTCCTCACTGGCAACCTGGCCAAGCTGCGCAAGATGATGAAGATCGGTGAGCGGTGGAGACTGTGGAGAAGGATTTCGAGTGTCTGATTCGTTCGTATTGCTAATATCTGTGTTCTCTTCATGTGTAGCTGAGATCAGAAAGGACATGAGCGGCCACTACCAGGCGGCGCTTTACCTGGGAGACGTCAGTGAGAGGGTCCGCATCCTGAAGAACTGTGGGCAGAGTGAGTTCACCTGTCACCATAAACTATATTCAGTCTATTATCATAATCTTGTGCATTGAAGCTTGATTATCTCTCTGTCGACTCAGTGTTGCCTGCTGCCATGTGACCAATGACAAGCACCCTGTTTTCATGCTTGTGTTTAAGAGAAACATAAGAAATAAATATTTTGCCACATCAATAATGTGCTCACCTCTCAGTACTGCTTCCAAAATATATATTTTTTAAATTGTTTTTAACTAATAAACAAAGAGCCAACACTGATTTTGTGCATTTGTTACGTGCAGAGTCTCTGGCTTACCTGACTGCAGCCACCCATGGGCTGGATGAAGAAGCTGAATCACTGAAGGAGACCTTTGACCCAGAAAAGGAGACGGTGTGTTGGGGAAACATTCCCTGTACTTTCATTCACATCATGTGGACACGCATAACAAGCTGACTGACTTTTACTTCCTCACCACAGCCTCTGACAATAGAATCACTCTCATGTTATTGAATTAATCCACCATTTTGGTTGTGTAATGATGGCGGATTTTGTCTTGTAGGTGCCTGAGGTTGATCCAAATGCACAGCTGCTGCAGCCTCCTCCACCCATCAACCCTCTGGACACCAACTGGCCTCTGCTCACTGTGTCAAAGGGCTTCTTTGAGGGAGCCATTGCATCGAAAGGTGGGTCGTCATCAGCCTTGACAGATGCAAATATAGATAAACTGCATATATTCACGATACGCGTGTATATAAGTACCTGTATAAACAGCAAACTATGTTCATTTTAATAAAGAGAACTGATCAGTTGTGACAGGTTTCAGTTAACTGCTTACCTAATACACAGCAGTGAGAAATGTTTTCCATCTTTAGTCAAAAATAAATAGGAACTACTTGAAGGGAAGTTGAGGAAACACGTAGCAGTTGATGTGGTTTTTTTGTTTGTTTTTCCTGTTGTAGGGAAGGCAGGTCAGATGGCTGCCGATCTGGACATGGATGCTTCAGGAGCAGAGGGCTGGGGAGACGATGCTGAACTTCAGCTGGATGAAGGTAAATTTAATTTAAAATAACATTTATCTGGATCTGTCAGTGGGCAGATTGGAGCGTCACCAGTATTGTCATTTTTAATTTTTCCCTCCCTTATTCTCTCTCTCTCTCGCTCTCTCTCTCTCAGATGGCTTCATGGACGCCCAGGAAGGATTAGGGGAGGATGGAATTGCGAAAGAGGAGGGAGGAGGCTGGGAGGTGGAGGAAGACCTGGACCTTCCTCCAGAGCTGGTGAGAGGAGCCTCATCATTACAAATCCTTCCAGGATTAAAACAGGGTTAACACTAGACACCAGATAAACACTGATATATTTCACCTCTGCTCAGCACTTTGTTGTCATTGTCTTAGTCCACTGTCATTCTCTCGTTTCCAAACATCAGGACTTGCAAGCTGGTGGAGGCGGAGGAGCTGAAGACGGTTTCTTTGTCCCGCCAACCAAGGGCACGAGTCCGACCCAGATGTGGTGCAACAACTCCCAGCTGCCAGTGGACCACGTCCTAGCTGGCTCTTTCGAAACAGCCATGAGAGTGTGTTCACAATATATTACTTCAGATGTTTTGCTTTTTATTTTGTATTACTTCTTTAAATAAACATGTATGCACTGATTGGATATATATAAGCTTTTTAAACTTCAAACTGACAGTAACCGTTCACCCTTCTCGACCACAGCTGCTCCACGACCAGGTTGGAGTTGTGAACTTTGGCCCGTACAAGTCGCTGTTCATGCAGACGCTAACCAGGGGCCGCAACTGTTACCTGGGGCTGCCCTCTCTGCCCTGCCTGCGTAGTCACCCCCAGAGGAACTGGAAGGTACACGCAGATGTTTGCCTGTGGGGGGAGGACGTACTTTTCTGTTTTTCCAAAAAACATTTTCTTTGTGAATCTAATAAGCAATCATACAAATTATTTATCTTTTAGGACTGTGGGGCAAAGCAAGGTCTGCCTGCTGTGGGCCTGCGCCTCTCGGACCTCATCTCCCGCCTGCAGCAGTGCTACCAGTTGACCACTTCTGGGCGGTTTGAGGAAGCTGTGGAGCGCTTTAGAGTCATCCTGTTGTCGGTCCCTCTGCTGGTGGTCGATAACAAGCAGGAGATCGCAGAGGTGAGGACCAGGCCAACTTTAAATCAGTTCAGTCCAGATGTCTGTGGCTATCGACCGCTCCTACAGCACGAGAATGCTAAATATAACGATGTAGCTCATATATACTCCTGCATTCTGTATAATCAAAAAATATTTACAGTATTAAATGTGCATGGGTCACCTTTGTTATTGTGTTTCAGGCTCAACAGCTGATCACGATTTGCAGAGAATACATCGTGGGTCTGACTATGGAGACTGAGAGGAAGAAGCTGCCGAAAGACACATTGGAGCAGCAGAAGAGGCTGTGTGAGGTAAAAATCTGGAGTCAGGGCTGTTGGAGACAGACAATAACTTGTTTTGGCTCAAAGTTTACATCACGGTGAGTGTGATACATTTGTTTTCGGGCCTATACCAAGTTTTTTTTTTTTTTTTTCCCCTTCCAGATGGCTGCTTATTTCACCCACTGTAATCTCCAGCCCGTCCACATGGTGCTGGTGTTGCGCACGGCCCTGAACCTCTTCTTCAAACTGCGTAACTTCAAAACAGCTGCTGGCTTTGCACGCCGCCTGCTGGAGCTGGGGCCGAAGCCTGATGTAGCGCAGCAGGTTGGTTGTGCGACTCCCACAGAAGCACTGATATTAAAGTTTTTATTTTTTACATGGAGCACAATTCTGTTTCTTAATCTTCTATCATAACGTTAACTCTCTCCCTGCTATTCAGACCCGCAAGATTTTGGCTGCATGCGAGAAGACCCTGACAGATGCACACCAGTTGAACTACGACCCCCACAATCCATTTGACCTGTGCGCTGCATCGTTTGTCCCCCTGTACCGTGGACGCCCTGTTGAGAAGTGTCCTCTGTCTGGAGCCTGCTACTGTCCCACGTACAAAGGCCAGATCTGCAGGGTCACTCAGGTAGATCTGCACGGCCATGTACAACTTAACAATCAACCTAAAAGGCTTTTCAAATCAAGAGAATGCATAATTTACATCCGGTACATCAGTATAGTCAAATGAAATCCAATACAACATGTCCAGTACTTTACTATGGTGTTGATTATAAACATATAATTTAATTTACACTTCTGACAGTGTCATCAAAACATAAATTTGTAAAGAATGAGTTTAAACTGTGTTAAAAACTTTCATTTTACTTTATTTTCTAGGTGACGGAGATCGGTAAGGATGTGATCGGTCTGCGTGTGAGTCCTCTCCAGTTCCGTTAAGAGGACATAAAGACGAAGACTCTGCTCAGCAAAACACATCCACACTTACTCTGTAGAAATAATAGCTATCGACACGACGAATTAAAGCAGAGATATATATATGTTTGATCACAGTGATGTGAAAACCTTTTAAACCCTTTCAACTATCTAAATTCAATGCACCATCTTCCCTGCAGAAGGCTTGTCTCTTCTTCGGCATCGTCTCCGTGCTGTGGCTGTATTAAACCTGTAATCATAACCGCTGTCTCTTTTCTGACCTCTATGAGATGATTCACTCGAAGTGAGCGACGCCGCTCTGTGTATCTGGAGGAAAATAAAAACTACATTTGTGAACGGAAGCGTGTGTTCTTGAGGTTCTTCTGATGTGGTTTGGATGCATGTGCGCTCACCTTGCGGCTGATGCGCTGGAGGAGGATGAGATTAATGTGTGGGTATAAAAGTGTCGCAGGGAAATTACAAATTCACTACAGGTCTGAGTCACCGGGCAGGAGAAGAAAGCTGAATTTAAAAAAAACATGGAGGTGAACTGAGTTGGGTGGATAAATATATTTACTGCAGGTAAAGATGTTGAACTGAGCTGCAGCTGTTATTGAATAAACAAAATGAAGCTGCAGAAATCAAAAGGTGCCATTTTGACAAAGAGTCCATCTTTCTTTCCATCTCTCACCATTTATTTATTTATTTATTTATTTATTTTCGGACGCCAGCGGAACCAAACTACGGAACCCGGACGTTTCTCATGTCGACACTTCCTGTTGTGCCTCTCTTGCTTTTCAAACCAGGAAGATGGATCCGCTCTCGAACAAGTGGATTATTCCTCTGCTCGCTTGTTGTGTTTTCGTGGGTGAGTTGTGTCTCAGCTGCGTGTTCGTGTGTTTGTTACCGAGCTGAGTGTGTTTGTGTGTTTAGCAGCTAGCATGAGGGACTTCTTTGTGCTAGCCGAATGCTAGGCTAGCCCCCGGTTTGGGCTTTAATCTCCATTGCTGCTTCCTTCGTTCTTTCTTTCTTTTATTTTTTTAAAGCTAATGTCTCAATGGATCGTCTGGAATCTGAACACGTTTATAACCGAGGGTTCAGTTCAGATTAAACTACTGTTTCTTTGTTATTAGTTCTTTCCGGTGAGTTGTGTGTGTCTGTCCCTCCCGAGAAGAACAACTCAACATCAGCGTGACTGCTCGTGATTCCCCCGCCGCCGCCGCCGCCCGGGGCTCGGGGATTACATTCTACATTTTCATGATTTTAATTTTAATTTCATTATTCGGGAACTCAAGAGTCTCAGATTGTGCTCCGGTGAAGTCGTTCCCGCATCTTCAGGCTAACCTGGTGAATTCGGCACACACCTGACGAGCCGGGGCTTCAACACATTTGAGTCAAAACGAGTTTTAATCTCACATTTGCGTTGTTGCTTTCACATTTGAACTGAAAAGACCAAACGCAGTTAAAAGTAAATCCACAGTTACAGTTTTACATTCACTCATTATGAACTGAACTTTAACTCTGATTGGACCTCATGTAATGGTTCATGTGCAGTGAATGGATTTCTAGTTTTTACACTGTTTATATTAGTTTTTATTCATTTCATCTATATTGTTTTAATATTCCTTACACTTTAGTATTGCACATTACACATTATTACTCACTAATGCCGATTCCTGACTCTCGCTGCTGTGATACTGCACATTTCCCCATCGTAAGACTGATAAAGCGTTATCTTATCTCAGGTAGGTTTATTAGTTTAAGTCCAATTCTTTGATTAGAACTAGTTTTCATACAATCAGTGAAACGTATTTGGCGCCAAGTTGTGAAGAAACTATTCAAAATGCAGTAAAGGCAGAACTCCCTTCTGCTACTTGACAACGTATAACAATACCACACTGTAAGTGAAAGTTATATATCCAGTATATTATATTATACTACGCAGGCACCATTTTAATGTAGCTCACTTGAACGTCGGGCACTCAGAGAACACATACTTATGAAAACACATTGAAAGTCACTAAACCAGATTTTTTATTTGCACACACTCATAAATACCAGTTCTCTAATCATGTCTAATGTTTTTCATCATGAATTACTCTCCCTGAGAAATTGAATGAATTCTTCCCGGTCCCGTAACAGATTTTATTAATTTATCATATGTTATGTTCATAAAATCTTAATTTGTGATGTAATTAGAAACTATTGATTTTTAAATATGAGTTCCAGCTGCAGCAGCGGGGTGCGAGAAGTGTTAAACTGATGATTGGGTCAGGCAGGAGTCATTTCTCTTTCTTTTCTTCACTGGGAAAGAAAGCACAAAACAATAAACCTGGAGGTAATGGAGGTCAGATATCAGCTTTGCCAGGTCAGTCCGTAAACCGTGTCAGATCCAGACATGAAGATATTAGAAATGTGTGTGAGAGATAAAAGATCCAGGTTTCACTTGAGGTTTTGTAAACAGTTAAATTCCAGTTTTAACTGTGTTTCATAGATTTTTCCCTGAATGTCAAACTGTTCCTCTTGTGCAGCTGTTAAATTGCCTTTTTTTTTTTTTATTGCAGGTGTCGGCTGTAATTCTGTGGACAAGAAGATTTATGTGCATCTCAATTACACCGTCTCGTGTGTGCGACTGCTCAATGCAACACATCAAATCGGCTGCCAGTGTGAGTGAAGCAGTACATTCACTGTTTCGGTCCCAAGATGAAGTATTTGTCATAGTTTTCAGTCTCTTGAATGTGCTGCGTGTCCTCAAACCCTCTGAGCATCTTCCACCGCACTTGTTAAGTAAAAAAAAAATTACTCCACTGTGTATTCAAAGCATTTTTTTGAGGAATTTTCTCTGTGGTTGCTTCAGGCAGTCCAACAAATTAAATCAATTCTGCGGCTTTGAGAGTTAGAAATTAGTTATCAAACGCACTGACAGACATTTACCAACAGACTCATTTCACTGAGATCCACCACAGAGCGCCACAGGACATAGACTCCTCCCTGAGACTGACTAACCCTGGACGTTTTGATCCTGACAGCACATTTAGATCATGACTCATTTGAATTCATCGTGTGTTTTATATATTTTACATATTCATGTTCTGTTTAGATGTATATCTCAGATTTGTACACACTTCTTTGAGATTCTGTTTCTATTCATTCCCTGGGTCTCTGTAGATTTCTATTCTCTATTTCCTATATTTCATTTCCTATTTCTGATTTTAGCCTCCTTGTCGGGTAACGTGGGCGTGCTTCATGTGCTGGAGTCGGAGGATAAGCTGGACTGGGTCCTGAGCTCAGGTCTCAATCCCCCTTACATCGTCATCCTGGAGTCCTCGCTCTTTACCAGGTAAATTTAACGCGCCTCACCCTGTGCGGGGATCACACACAGCCGTGCTCCATGACGGTTGGTCTTGCTGTCTGTCTTCTGTGCCACGCTGACTATCGTCTGTGTCCACCGTCTGCCCGACAGATCCATAATGATGAAGTTGAAGGGCGCCTCCAGGAGGGTGGCGGGCGTTGCTGTTGTGGCGCCAAACGCGAACCTGGCAGACGCCTTTTCTCCGCACACCACCTGTCCCAACGAGAACTCAGGTGGGTGGATATTTTTTGCGAGCTGTGACACGTCCTTCAGTATCACACAAGTTGCAGAGATACATTTCAGTTTTATGATCCGCCAGAGGGCACGGTGATTGAAGTCACACGCTGTGGTCGTTTCAGATTTACTGCCATGTGAATTATTTCTGAAACGTAGCAGTGTTACCAGTTTAACACGTTTGTCACCAAACCAAGATTTATTGTGTCATTTTAATGTTTCTTCCAAGGCTGGAAATAATATTGGAAACACTGCATGTAAGAGTTAAAGTGCAGAAGGCAGTGTGTGTGTGTGTGACCATAGTTTATATGTTTTAAAGATTTGTATCATGCACGTGATAGAAAATGCCAGATATTACAGTTGGGTACTAATATTTAAAGACCCAGTATATGCATTTTCATTGTGTTTATTATTTGTGCACAGTACACAATGTTGTTGCTGATGTTCCCTCTGTGTTTCCCTCAGGTGTTTATTCAGAGACCTACGGTCCAGCCCTGGCTAATTGTAATACGACTGTGTGGAACCCTCAGGGAAACGGGCTGTCCTATGAGGAGTTTGATTTCCCCATATTCTCTCTCAAAGACGACAACGACACTCAGGTCATACGACAGGTACATGTGAAGTTTTTTTTGTCTTTAATCCCGAGGTACTCATCCGTGTTTATAGGCAGGCCGCTGTGCAAAAAGTCGAATTGTTTTACAATCGAAATCGTTTCACGTCTGATCTGAACTCAGAGGTGGTTGAGAGTTGGAATGAAGCCAGTTGCTCTGACGATCATGTCGTGGCACATTATGTTGAGATTATTTTAAAGAACTCCACGAATCATTTGCTGTTTTTCCACCTCTGCATGTGACGGAAACCGGCCGATCATATCACACAGGACTCAGACGTCCTCCTCTGTGAGTGTGCCTGTGGTTTATTCCCTCTGTGAGTCGCTGAGCTCAACATGACCGGTCTTTATCTCAGCTCTCGGTTCCACGTCACTGATAATGTGGACTCTAGAAACTCCTTCATACTGCTGTGAAGGACTGGGTCGGTCGCTCTGTTCTTTAGTCCAGAGGTTGTCGTCATGTTGTGGTTTATTTGTGCGAGTTTAAAACCTTTTGGTTTTCTCTCCGTCTCTGATGAAATGTTAGAGTGGACGAGGGGAACCGCTCTGTAAACCAACAATTTCAGGTTGGATGGCTGCGGTGTCAAAATGATACGTTTATTCCCGTGGTCGTCACAGTTTCTGTGGCCAACGTTACCGTGAGCAGGGAGCGAGACCCAATGGTCATGTTTTCACTCTGTCCTTTGGTTTGCTGTTAGTTTGTCAGCAGGATTACGCGAAACGCTTTTCCTCAAAACGTGGTGGAGGGACTGGACTTGGATCAAGAAAGAACCTGTTAAATTTTGTTGTAGATCTAAAGACAAAGTGGCTTCGTCGTCTTTAGAAACAAACACTCACAAAGACCTTCCGTGCACTTGTCTCTGTCCGCAGTGTTACTTGGACCATAACCTTCCTGTGAACGGCACTCCTCAGTACCCGCTGTGTGCCATGGAGCTCTACTCCCACATGTTCGCCGTCACCGACACGGCCACCTGCATGAGAAGAAATGATATCAACCTAAGCATCAACCCAGGTGTTTTATAATGGCCATGAAACTCTGCCAGGAAGAAAATTCAATTGAGGAAAATACCAATTCTGAGCCATGACTTGATTTGTGTTTTATCCTGTGTCGTCTCTTAGAGATGGTGTGTGACCCACTGGGGGACTTTAATGTGTGGGGCTCCACCAGGCCAATCAATAACACGGCCAAGGGCCACAAGATGTGGGAGAGTGTGGTCATAGCAGCCGCCAGGGTGAGTTTATGGAAAGACTCCTCCTTCTCAAAAAGTCGCACTGTCCACGTGACCTCAGCTTGATAGATTTTCTCCCCTCCTCTCTCCAGTTGGACAGCAGGTCGTTTTTCTTCGACATCGCTCCAGGAGCCGAGAGTGGAGTCTCTGGGTTCGTCACCCTGCTGGCGGCCGCTCACGCTCTGCGTGACGCCACCCAGGAGGCCCAGCCCAACCGCACCATCCTCTACACCTTCTTCCAGGGGGTCAGTTGTTACCGAGCTCGATCACGTCACTTAATGTTAGTTTTCTTTGGAGCGCCTTGCTCATGTTTGTTTGGCGGTTTGACCCCAGGAAACCTTTGACTACATCGGCAGTTCGAGGATGGTGTATGAGATGGAGAACGGTCAGTTTGCAGTGGATCTGGACAATATTCACTCAGTACTGGAGATTGGACAGGTGTGTACCGCCGACCGACTTCTGTTCGATGTATCAACCTGCACTACTATAATATTAGATGTACTTTATGTTTATGTGTGTTTACAGAATTTGTCCGTTTCATGAATTTCCTCACCACAGGTGGGACTTCGTAGTGACTCCAGACTCTGGCTTCACACGGATCCTGTTTCCAGGAGGAACGTCAGCGTCAACAAGGAGGTTTGTATTTGTGTTTATTTTAGAGTTTTTACAGAAAGACACGTACAATCACTGCCGGAGAAAAGAGGGGATTTAAATATACAGCAAAAATAATCATTAGCTGAATCTCATACAT